ATGCCAAAAGGTTCTGTACCTCAGCGCTAATTTCACATGAAATTTGACGTAATCTATTAATATGGAAAAAGATAGAAGACCATTCTAATAAAAGTTCAAGTTCTAATTTACCATCATAAATCGTAAAATCTTCAAAATGCTTGGCAGAGAAAAGAGTTATACAAACAGTAATTAATTTTTTTGGGACAACCTGTATATTTGACGTTATTGGAATAAGAGTGACCTACTTGACTAGAGTATTTGCCCATCAGAATTGGTTGAAATTGGCAGTTACGAATAGTACAGGAGTAACAGTCTATGATGTAATGCAACGAGTGTAATGTGTTGTGTTTGCGCACATCAGCTGCTCTACTACCACATTGATTAGTAGGTACAAAGTGAGTTATGGTGTACTACAATATAATATTTTCATTGACATCTACCTAATCATTTTCTTTCTGCTACTTAGAAGAGAAATTTCTGTTTAGATAACTCATACAAAGAAAACTGCAACGTTTCTTATCGTAACTGAAGTGACTCAATGCTATAAAACAAGTGAAAGTATCTTGATCTAGCCATAGTTAGATCCAAACATTTAGAGATAGCTTTACCAACCAGTATATTCGCATACAAAGGATGCGCAAATTTTGTCGTATTTCCTATATAAACTTACATTCACAAATTAAAGTTTTTTGCTACTTTCATTTTGATTTTAGCACTTTTTGCCAGAATTTTTGCAGAGCTCGTGTTTCGTAAACTATGTTTGACGTTAAGAATGAGGAGGGGACAGCTAAAGGTTCAAGAAAGTGAAGAGCATTTTTGTGTTCGTGGAAATAGGAACATAATTTCATCTGAGGAGCTTACTTTGCATACACTGCATATATACTTCCTTAATATAAAAAATTTGAAAATAATGTCCAACACAAAGAGTCATTTAATTGTTTTACAAAGATGCAATACAAAGATGTTTTTGACAATGATATTGGCACGTGTTGGCAATATAGTCTGAGACAATTATTCTTGATTTGCTAGAGTAAATGTATTTTTTATTTTTGAAATATAAAAAGTGACTATATCCTAAATTCTGCGCAGATGCACGAAAATATTTTCAAATATCTAAAAACTGTCAGTTGAGAAGGAATATCAAGGTGTGATTTCCAATATGAAAGGTATACTGGCTGATTAATAGCAGATCTTAAAATTGAGACTCTTCAAACCCTAAGGTGAGCGAATTTAAGTTATTTCCTATAAAGTCCTGTCAATAATGGCTCTACCTGAAACGCCGGCACTGGAGCCAGTACCGGTGGAGCCGATGGTGGCGCCGCCGACGACTCCGATTGTCCACGCCGGTAACGGCTCGGTGATAAAGCTCGCAAACTCCCGATACGAATCAACTTCAGCTGTTCCGCCAACATTATACTGTAGAATACAGTATTATGGGTTGGATTAATCAAATCGGTTAGCGGATTATCACAGCGAGAATGCGAGTAGTAACGTATAAATCGTGAAGGAAGTCTAGGGGAAAATCAGACGAGACAAAGTTTTTTTTTGACATAAAAAGCAGCAAAGTGAGAGACGAGGATGCCTAATGAGGATTTGTGATGAATGAACGCGCTAATCGATTATATCCTAAAGAAGAGAGGCTTCATTCATAGGAGGTGTTTGTTAAACGAAAATATGCGATGATAAAGACATTTGCCGTTTTGGATTGGAACATGTCCTATTTCTGGGAATGCTAGAGGATTGAAAGGATTAGGGTTTCACATAAACAAGTAAACAACAGTAGCAAGGTAAAGGGTGAGATAACCAGTGAAGTAAGAAGCAAGAAAAAGGACTGAATGACATTGCTTCACTCATACAAAAGCTGTTTACGTCGAAACATTGCCTAACTGGAGAGTCTGGCTTGATAATAAAGGCAATAACGCTTGGCTATATTCGAAGGCTATGACGTTGCAGTTTCCTGCACGATTATGACCCTATAAAGTTAGGCAAA